AAAAAAAAAAAAAAAAAAAGAAGAAAAAAAAATAAAAAATTGTTCAAACAGATTTGATAACTTTGTTTTATTTTGTAGCTTTAGGGATAGTTTTGATGAATTCTGGGAGTCTTGAGGAAGCTATCCAGATTCTGCTGAGTGTGATAAAGGTAAGACTACCATTAGATTTGTAGATATTAGCAGCTATACATCTATGCTGGAATGGGTTTATAAGTAAAGGCAGTGACATTAAATACATCACATTTAGGATATGCATCAGGTGGAGAATGATGATGATTTATATCCATTTAGGATAGTTAATTGACAAGTTTTAACATACAAACTTCAACGAGTAGGTTACCAGTATACATGAAAATTTTATAATAATAACAAAATGAAAAATTCAATATTTCCAGTAGATGAATATTGTCAAATTCTGCTTTACATTATTTGTTGTACCACTCTCTTCACACTTAATGTTCATCGTACAAGATTGTCACCATTTCAGCTTTTCACTAAAGGACAATGAAAACAGTCATACAAAATCTTATTTTGATAATTTCCAAATGAAATATTTGCAGGAAAACCCCAATACAATGGCAGCCTATTACATCCTGGGAGTGGCTCATGTGAGGAAAGGTGTCCAGGTTTGTACTATTAGTATATTTTGTATATACTCTTGAATAACAGAAAGATTGATGTATAATGTTGTGTTTTACGATTTATGTTTATGTCACCCTGGTAAAATACTAGCTGCTTCCTACCGGCACAGCTAGGAAGAATTTCTTTTAGCTAATTTAGTAGAGCGTAAGACTAGTAAACCAGAGGTCCCGGGTTTGACTCCTCATGGAGGCATTGAATAAAATAAAGACCTCTGTTACAATAAACATGTGAAAGGTTGTATAGGATCTGGTGTGGCTTCAGGGTAAAATTATTTGTTGAAGGAGGGTCATTGTCACTAGACATTCTGGTCAAGGTCAGTAGGCATTGCCATGTCAAGAAGTCCAGATCATAGAATCAGAAGTTTTGAGTTGCTGTAATTATAAAGAATCAGTAGTATTATCTGACAAATATATGTCTTTCTGCTGATTTATAACATATTTGGAGTATTGTGAATAAAACATTCAATCTGTCCATTAATTCTTTGTATAATAGTATCTTGTTACGTTACAGGAGAGAGGTAATGCAGTGAGTGCCATGCGAGACTTCACAGAGGCAATTCAGAGAAGTACCACGCATTTTGAACCATATGCGCGACGGGCTGAGGTAAAAACAAACGATACAAATATATTTACAAAATTGGGTAATGGGACCTACATATTATGTAACTGCACATGACTCTGTACTTCGATTCGAAGATCAAGATCATAGCAAAGGCTCAAAGGTCAAATGACTCGTGCTTTTCCAGGTAACAGGGTCATGAAAAAACCTTAGGCTATAGTTCTTCCACACCAAAGTCTGTAACTCCGAGGTCAAGATGACAGCAATGGTGAAACGACTGCGATTCTTGTATGGAACATAATTTCTGAACATCAGGAAATTGTTTGATCAAATGTATATTACAGATATAATATATATGCCATCCTGACTATCTGTCTCACCACACACAACCCTTTATCCCTAAATTTAAGGTCCAACACAAAGTTTAATGTCATTATTGAAACACTTTGCTACTCTTCAATTTGAACTGTTAAATATTTCATTATGAAACTTCATAGATATATATTCAAGAAGTAAGAGGATACATCTGAGATGTACAGTGTGTCATGCTTCATGTTAGCCTCAAGGTTAAAGTTCAGTGGAGATATAGCTATGTGAGCCTTTACTTTGGTTTACCCTTCGTAAGGATTTAATGTAAAGCTTGCATAAGGACAGGCTGTAAAATCTGACTACTCAGTAAGTACTGTAAGTACCCATAGCATTGGTTTTTAAATTACACCTAATGTCATATGCAAATATTGTTTTTTTGTGCAGTTGCACTTGGCTTTAAAAGATTACAATGAAGCTCTGAAGGACCTTATAAGGGCAGAGGAGTTCCATCCTGACAGTAAGGTATACTTCATGAGGGGAATCATTCACCTACTTCTGGAGGTAAGCTCATCATAAACATCATATCTAGACATTATGAGGGCCCTGTATCGGAGATACGGGTGCCCTATAGTAATCACTCTGTCTGTCTGTCTGTCTGTCCGTCCACAAATTTTGTTCCTGGCTAATAACTTTGGTATTAATTGACCGATTTACATGAAACTTGGTCAAGATGTTCAGTTCACAAAAATACACACTTAGGTAAAAAATCAAGGTCAAAGGTCAAGGTCATAAGGTTAAAAGGTCCAGGTCAAATTTTGCATCTTTTCACTGATAGCATTTTGTTATGACATGATGAAACAAAGTTGATCAGAATTAAACAAGGAGTCAACTGACCGAAGGTCAAGGTCATAGGGTCTAGGTCAAAGGTCAAGGTAAAATTTTGTAGCTTTTCACTAATGAGCATTTATGACATTATGAAGCAAAGTTGGTCGAAATTCCACAAAGAGTCAACTGACTTATGGTCAAGGTCACTAGATCAAAGGTCAAGGTCAAATTTAGTATCATTTCACTGATGAACATTTTGTTATGACACTATGGATCAATGTTGGTCAGAATTAAACAAAGAGTCAACTAAAAAGGTCAAGGTCACTTGAACAATGTCAAGGTCAAATATTGTATCTTTTTACTGATGAACATTATTTTTATGTATTTATGAAGCAAAGTTGTTCAGAACTTAACACCAAGTCAAATGACCTATGGTCAAGGTTACGAGGTCCAAAGGGTCAAGGTCAAGTTTTGTACTTTTCACTGATGAACATTTTGTTATGATATTTTGAAGCAAAGTTGGTCGGAATCAAAGAATAATTCAACTGACCAAAGATCAGGGTCACTGGGTTAAAGGTCAAGGTCAATTGGGTCTAAAGGTCAAAGACAAAGTGGATCTCTGACTTTGACCCTGGCTCTTGATGGAGAAGGTATTTAAAGTGAAATAAGACATATCAAAGATAACAAATGAGTATTGCACCGGTATTTACATTTCTGTTAGCCTAGCAAATATGGAGGTGGAAGGAAACAAGACTCACATCATAGTACATGTTAAATGTATATTTTGCTTCCTTGTGATTCTTTTTGAAGTCCAAATACCAGACGTCAAGCTCAGCTATATGGGCAGATTGCTTCTTGATGATTATGGCGGATATATTGCCACAAGACGGGGCCCTTACTGACCTGTCAGTGTTCTAGTTATAATTATTATATTGAACATATAGTTTTACACCAACAACAGATGGAGGTAGTTAGCGTTACATGACATAAGATGTCATAGAGATCACTAGTTTTACACAAACATTAGACACATTCACAGATTTGGTAACTAGTACATCATATGTAGATGTGCATGGAGAAAGGAAATTGAAATGCAACTATTTTTTCTGGAGTTATGGCCCTTGACATTTTTCAGTGGTATTAAATAAGCTGATGCGCTTTAATTACGAATTTTGAAGTACAGAATGTTTTGAAATTGACAACGAACAATGGAAGTTACTAATATTGAAAAACTTTTTAAAAAGTTCTTGACCTATTCCTGATGTTTTACATTTAGACCATTACCTCAATATGTGTTAAATGTTCTGACACTGGAAGTATTTTTTTGCAGAATTTTGTTGAAGCAGAGGATGACTTTAAAATGAATTTGAACAAGGAGGATCACCTGTACCTACCATCTTATTACCATCTTGGTCTGACTATGTACTACCGTGGAAAAATCAGGGTAAGTCAGGGAGTCGAGAGCTGACTCTATACCCTAAGGTAAAATAATAGAGTCAATCAGGGTAAGTCGGGGAGTCGAGAGCTGACTCTATACCCTAAGGTAAAATAATAGAGTCAATCAGGCTAAGTCAGGGAGTCGAGAGCTGACTCTATACTCTTAAGGGAAAATAATAGAGTAAATCAGGGACATCAGTAGTCAGGGAGTTAAGAGCTGACTCTGTACTTCTTGGTAAAATCATGGTGAGGCATTGAGCCAAGAACTATCACTGTACTACTGGGATAAAATCAGGGTATGTCAGGGAGCCAAGTGTTCAATGTACACAATCCTTGATAGAATTTTTTTTAATAGAGGTGAAATAGAAAAAAATAAAATTACCTAAAGTGTTCAGAGTGTAAAAGAGCACCAGGGCCCAGTTGTTCAAAAGGTGATTAGCTTAATCAGTGATTAGCACAACTTTTAATTTTCATGTATCTTTAAAACAGAACAATTGAATTAGTTACAACTTTCCAGATATCAAATATTTAGCAGTGTAAATTTACAGGCACAATTGTGAGGTTTTACCTTGTATATTGACGGAATTAATGAAGGTTAAAAAACTAGGCCCAGGGCTACACTGGGGTTCAAACCCTTGGCTTAAGTAGGTATACCACTGCTCTAACTGACTGAGCTAACTAGTCAACAGTAGTGTCCTGACCCAATGGTGCTACAGTTATATCCAAAACAAAATTAAGGGGAGGTTACTGTATATATAAAAAAAAAAGCCAGCGCACACAGGGACACAGATCCTTAAAGTGAAGAATATCTCTCGACATTTAGAAAATTAATAGACATAAAATATTTTAGAGTCATTGGTTTTGTTAACTTTTGTTTGATAGTTCACTGTATAAGTAATATATGTTAAAATTGCTATTACCTAGGTAAAAGATTTGAAACATGATCTTTTTAACATTTGTAGTTGTGATAATCCAGTAATGTCTTCCTTTGTTGCAGAATGCCATTGAAGTTTTTAAAGAAGTTTTAAAGATCAAACCTGATTATGTGGATGCTTCTACAAGTTTAGCTCAAGCTTTCAAGTAATGTAATCCATTTCTGTCTCATCTTTTATACCATTTTGTCTAAATTCATCATTTCCGTCTGTTTACAGAGAGTGTGCAGAAAAAGTTTAATCAGAAAAATCTTGTAAAATGTTATAGAAAGTTCATTATCTACTGGCCCTCTCTTGCTGAAGCATATTAATGCCTTGAGTTTTATACTGGACCTTGGTATTTATTCACTTTGTTTCTATGCAGTAATTTCATCGTTATTTCCTCCATTATAGAGAATTAGGTAATCTGCGAGCTTCTCGTGGTAAGTTCAACCATTCCCTGAACATCAACCCTAGTCACAGCCAGTCACTCCAGTTGAGAGGAAACATGCTTTACCACAGTGGAGAAACTGTAAAGGCAGCCCAAGACTTTAAAGTAAGCTCATCAACACAAAGCAGTTCTTTATATTCATGTCAGTTATATGAAATTCTGGAAATGAGAGTTTTACACAAACATTAATGATTTTATGGGCTCTGAGTCTGAAAGTAGTTAATCCATATATTAGAAAGGCTTCAGGATGAAGACCTGGGGCTCAATCCCTTTGGTCGGAATTTTGTTTGTTTGTTTGTTAATAATTGAAATAATTCATTCATTGGTCCATACATTTTTCATAGAAAATATTCTGATGCATATTATATATTCCTGTGAATTTCCATGTGTATATATTCTGTATTCTGTTCAAATTTTTGTTCAAATCTTACTGCACCTGAATCAAGGAATCCCTAATTTTAGGAAAGATCAGCTAAAACATAGGCAGTTATTGATTTCAAATTTATTTGTTTTCTTAAATAATTTTGTAAAATTCCTACAGAAGCATGTGATGATTTGTTGATTTGTTTTTGCTTCAGAAATGTACAGAAATAGACCCAGAAAACATCAACTGTCAGTACATGTTAGCACTGTGTGATGCAGCAGTGGGAAAGTTCTACGATAGTGTCAAAGCTACCACAAAAGTCCGTACCATTCAGTCGTGGGTGTTAGCCATGTAAAACTAAACAATAGCATCGTTAATGTACTTTACAATAAGATAACAATTTATCATTTCTGTGAAGAAGAAAATCTTCCTGATGGATTCTGATTGTTTATAAATTTCCAAAATTTCAACGTATCATTAATGGGGCAAGTATATATGTTACCCTACTATGATATTTACTGTGTACTGGAAATTTCTTGCCCACTCAAATATTTGCGCTTCGCCGTTCAAATGTGTATTTGACCAATGTTCATTTCTCTTTGATACATATCTACTAGGTAAGGTACATCGTGAACTAATGTTCACAGTTATGGTAAATTTACCAGGTAAATTTACCATGATTACAAATGGCAAAAAGGGTATAGTTAAATTGGGGCAATTATTTCTTGTATACAGTATATCTTTTCCAAAGTAGTTCTATGGAGGAAGACCATATGTCTAGACACGTACAGAGGCAGGGTCTTAGTTAGGTTATATGGCCATTTTAAACATGAAAAGTTAGAACAGTAACTTTATTGTGTATATAAAGTGAGGTCACATTTTAAATTTTCTGTCTTTGTAATCTATTGCCATCAGCAATAAATAGCAAGACTAAATAGAACTTCAGATAATTAAAACAGTTTTCCATGTTATGCTGTAGTTTAGTATCGTCTATTAAAGGTAATTTTGAGAGAATTGTAAACAAAGCATAGGAACATTATGGCAGGTATCATATAGCCTGAAGTCTATAGTTTACAACACATCTTACGTCCGTATTACTTATTGCTTGTCTTCTATTTCAATAGGTTATGGTGAAAAATTCAAACGTTATGAGGGCTTCACCAGAATTTTTAAAAGCACATTATTTAAGAGGTTTGTATTTTATGAATTATTTGTGTTACATACAAACTTGTTCAGGAATCATCATTATTGTTTTATAAAATAAATAACAACTATTTTGACAATTTATGATACATTCTTTAAATAGAAATAGTTATTAGTTTATGCAAAATCCGATTAAATGCCAGTTATATTGAAAACAGATATTTTTATGTTGATTTTTCCCATTTGTAGAATATGTGCGGTATCTACATTCCCACCTGGATAAGCCCATCCAGGACCTGAAGCTGGACCAAGATTTATCGGAGGAGTTCAGAGATCACTGGGCCAAACTTTTACCATTCAAGTTCAGAAACGCCTATAAAGAGCAGCCCGGTTTACAACCAGATATAAAGTGAGTTGGTTTCTATACGCTAAATGGAACCTAGCCATCTTTCATCACCATCATATGCGATGGAAACTCAATGAAAATCCTCTAATGGGTGGTAGAGTGGCACAGTGGGTAGCGCACTTGCCTTTCACCGAGACGGTAGGGGTTCGATTCCCCGAACAAACGTGAAAAGGTAAGGGGTCACCTGCACTACCACGTTGGCTTTCTCCGGGTACTCCAGTTCCCTCCCACATTAAGACCCCCTGCGCACTAACGTCCAGGCCAGCAAGAGTGATAACTATAAGTTGGAATAACTTGTTTCATAATTTTTCTAAAATAAATATAAATAAAGTTTATATTCATAAAATCGTATGTTACATTGTGTAGTAGTTTGACTAGCAACTGAAACCACACACTGGTATTCAACAAAATATCAAAAGATATATGCAGTTATAACGTTGTGAATGCAGTAAACCTGTGATTAGATTGTAGACTTGTAATGCTAGATTGACATATTTAATGCTGTGGTTTTTCAAAGAAAACTTAATTATATGAAAGGCTATCTTTTGAGAGACCACTAGAAATAGAGAGGTTGGTCTCTGTAGACAGATCTATCTTTTCTTTTCTCGTAAGCTTGTTTTATTGAAAATCTTATATCAATTTGTTTCAGAGATGTTGTACTTAGCCAGATAAAACAATACCCTAGCAATATACAGAATCTAATATGTAAAGCAGATAAAATAGGGATGTTGACCCAGGTGAATACAGATGGCTACACTCCCAACAGAAAACTTAATATGGCCATGGGATTGGCATCTATACATATATCACAAATATTAGAGGTAAGTACTGTTAAAACAAGTAATGCAAACCTGCTAACCTCATGTCACTCCGTCCAAGAAAAATCTTTTAATGTCCATTTAAACATACATGTCATGTATGGAAAACAGTTAGCGTTACTGCTAATTGATCTTCTATGGTAGGTAAAAGTAATTAAACTGATGTTTAATTCAACTTTTTACAATTATTTGCTTAAATCTGAGACATGCCAGGATCCCATGCTACACTTTCAAATTGTCATATGATTAATCTATAACAGAAAATTGTGTACTGACTTTATTTGTCTTCGCAATATATATTCATAGTCAATTGATTGGTGCCCATACATTTTGTAAATGCACAAGTTGAAGAATAAGTCAGTTTGAACGCTTGTTTGATGTGATGTAAGCACCAATGTCTATTTTCTATTACAGGCAAGATGGAAAGGATTACGACAAAATAAACAAATGGGTAAATAAATTTTCAAATTGAATTGAATAATTCATAGAATTTTACTTGATCAGTAGAATATTGTTTTTAGAAAACTTTGGAGTAAAGCACAATCATAAAATCTTTATAATAAAGCTGATGCAGTAGTAATTTCAATTCATTCTTTTTTTTAAATCCTGTAAAGGTAATAGGGCTTTAGATAAAGTGCAAAGGTTATATGTTGTGCAAGAATTTTCTCTACTTACTGGTATTGCAATCGAAGTAATATTTTTAGTGTGAAAGCCAAACCTTTTCACTTTAAGATTTGAAATAGCTTACAAGGGACTACTGCAGAAAGTTATATTTATTTGGAATCTTCAGCTTTGAGTGCAGGTTTATGACATTCCTGTGTATGTAATCATACGTTTTATGTAACAGACCGATCGTTAACGTGGAGAGAGATTTCTGACATCCCTGTGTATGTAATCATACGTTTTATGTAACGGACCGATCGTTCTCGTGGAGAGAGATTTCTGACATTCCTGTGCATGTAGTCATACGTTTTATGTAACAGACCGATCGTTCTTTTGGAGAGAGATTTCTGACATTCCTGTGTATGTAATCATACGTTTTATGTAACAGACCCATCGTTCTTGTGGAGAGAGATTTCTGACGTTCCTGTGTATGTAGTCATACGTTTTATGTAACAGAGCGATCGTTAACGTGGANTTATAGCTAAAGTAAGTATCAATGAACTACATTGTCATTACTTATAGCTAAAGTAAGTATCAATGAACTACATTGTCATTACTTATAGCTAAAGTAAGTATCAATGAACTACATTGTCATTACTTATAGCTAAAGTAAGTATCAATGAACTACATTGTCATTACTTATAGCTAAAGTAAGTATCAATGAACTACATTGTCATTACTTATAGCTAAAGTAAGTATCAATGAACTACATTGTCATTACTTATAGCTAAAGTAAGTATCAATGAACTACATTGTCATTACTTATAGCTAAAGTAAGTATCAATGAACTACATTGTCATTACTTATAGCTAAAGTAAGTATCAATGAACTACATTGTCATTACTTATAGCTAAAGTAAGTATCAATGAACTACATTGTCATTACTTATAGCTAAAGTAAGTATCAATGAACTACATTGTCATTACTTATAGCTAAAGTAAGTATCAATGAACTACATTGTCATTACTTATAGCTAAAGTAAGTATCAATGAACTACATTGTCATTACTTATAGCTAAAGTAAGTATCAATGAACTACATTGTCATTACTTATAGCTAAAGTAAGTATCAATGAACTACATTGTCATTACTTATAGCTAAAGTAAGTATCAATGAACTACATTGTCATTACTTATAGCTAAAGTAAGTATCAATGAACTACATTGTCATTACTTATAGCTAAAGTAAGTATCAATGAACTACATTGTCATTACTTATAGCTAAAGTAAGTATCAATGAACTACATTGTCATTACTTATAGCTAAAGTAAGTATCAATGAACTACATTGTCATTACTTATAGCTAAAGTAAGTATCAATGAACTACATTGTCATTACTTATAGCTAAAGTAAGTATCAATGAACTACATTGTCATTACTTATAGCTAAAGTAAGTATCAATGAACTACATTGTCATTACTTATAGCTAAAGTAAGTATCAATGAACTACATTGTCATTACTTATAGCTAAAGTAAGTATCAATGAACTACATTGTCATTACTTATAGCTAAAGTAAGTATCAATGAACTACATTGTCATTACTTATAGCTAAAGTAAGTATCAATGAACTACATTGTCATTACTTATAGCTAAAGTAAGTATCAATGAACTACATTGTCATTACTTATAGCTAAAGTAAGTATCAATGAACTACATTGTCATTACTTATAGCTAAAGTAAGTATCAATGAACTACATTGTCATTACTTATAGCTAAAGTAAGTATCAATGAACTACATTGTCATTACTTATAGCTAAAGTAAGTATCAATGAACTACATTGTCATTACTTATAGCTAAAGTAAGTATCAATGAACTACATTGTCATTACTTATAGCTAAAGTAAGTATCAATGAACTACATTGTCATTACTTATAGCTAAAGTAAGTATCAATGAACTACATTGTCATTACTTATAGCTAAAGTAAGTATCAATGAACTACATTGTCATTACTTATAGCTAAAGTAAGTATCAATGAACTACATTGTCATTACTTATAGCTAAAGTAAGTATCAATGAACTACATTGTCATTACTTATAGCTAAAGTAAGTATCAATGAACTACATTGTCATTACTTATAGCTAAAGTAAGTATCAATGAACTACATTGTCATTACTTATAGCTAAAGTAAGTATCAATGAACTACATTGTCATTACTTATAGCTAAAGTAAGTATCAATGAACTACATTGTCATTACTTATAGCTAAAGTAAGTATCAATGAACTACATTGTCATTACTTATAGCTAAAGTAAGTATCAATGAACTACATTGTCATTACTTATAGCTAAAGTAAGTATCAATGAACTACATTGTCATTACTTATAGCTAAAGTAAGTATCAATGAACTACATTGTCATTACTTATAGCTAAAGTAAGTATCAATGAACTACATTGTCATTACTTATAGCTAAAGTAAGTATCAATGAACTACATTGTCATTACTTATAGCTAAAGTAAGTATCAATGAACTACATTGTCATTACTTATAGCTAAAGTAAGTATCAATGAACTACATTGTCATTACTTATAGCTAAAGTAAGTATCAATGAACTACATTGTCATTACTTATAGCTAAAGTAAGTATCAATGAACTACATTGTCATTACTTATAGCTAAAGTAAGTATCAATGAACTACATTGTCATTACTTATAGCTAAAGTAAGTATCAATGAACTACATTGTCATTACTTATAGCTAAAGTAAGTATCAATGAACTACATTGTCATTACTTATAGCTAAAGTAAGTATCAATGAACTACATTGTCATTACTTATAGCTAAAGTAAGTATCAATGAACTACATTGTCATTACTTATAGCTAAAGTAAGTATCAATGAACTACATTGTCATTACTTATAGCTAAAGTAAGTATCAATGAACTACATTGTCATTACTTATAGCTAAAGTAAGTATCAATGAACTACATTGTCATTACTTATAGCTAAAGTAAGTATCAATGAACTACATTGTCATTACTTATAGCTAAAGTAAGTATCAATGAACTACATTGTCATTACTTATAGCTAAAGTAAGTATCAATGAACTACATTGTCATTACTTATAGCTAAAGTAAGTATCAATGAACTACATTGTCATTACTTATAGCTAAAGTAAGTATCAATGAACTACATTGTCATTACTTATAGCTAAAGTAAGTATCAATGAACTACATTGTCATTACTTATAGCTAAAGTAAGTATCAATGAACTACATTGTCATTACTTATAGCTAAAGTAAGTATCAATGAACTACATTGTCATTACTTATAGCTAAAGTAAGTATCAATGAACTACATTGTCATTACTTATAGCTAAAGTAAGTATCAATGAACTACATTGTCATTACTTATAGCTAAAGTAAGTATCAATGAACTACATTGTCATTACTTATAGCTAAAGTAAGTATCAATGAACTACATTGTCATTACTTATAGCTAAAGTAAGTATCAATGAACTACATTGTCATTACTTATAGCTAAAGTAAGTATCAATGAACTACATTGTCATTACTTATAGCTAAAGTAAGTATCAATGAACTACATTGTCATTACTTATAGCTAAAGTAAGTATCAATGAACTACATTGTCATTACTTATAGCTAAAGTAAGTATCAATGAACTACATTGTCATTACTTATAGCTAAAGTAAGTATCAATGAACTACATTGTCATTACTTATAGCTAAAGTAAGTATCAATGAACTACATTGTCATTACTTATAGCTAAAGTAAGTATCAATGAACTACATTGTCATTACTTATAGCTAAAGTAAGTATCAATGAACTACATTGTCATTACTTATAGCTAAAGTAAGTATCAATGAACTACATTGTCATTACTTATAGCTAAAGTAAGTATCAATGAACTACATTGTCATTATTTCTTTTTAAACTTTCAAGAGGATATCACTACCAGAAAAACAGGAGTCAAGCTAGAGAATTATGTGGGATGTAATTAGAATATAACTACACTATTGAAAATCTGGTATGGAATCAATTAGGAGAGGCTGCACATCTTTGGTTTGTAGTTCATAAAGATGCACTTCTTCTTATAAGTCAGTATCACTTGACAACACGATATTTCCAAACTTTTGTTTTGGTTTCAGTTACTCCCTACAGGAAATCTGCATCGTTAATGTAAGATGAACTTGTACAGTATTATGTGACTCTGTAAGAATTGGTAGGAGTTGTTGCTCTTATTACTAGTTCAGGAGGTTATCAGTTCTACAGATAGGTTAACTTGGCATTTCTAGGCTAATCCGGTGTTGATGATACATGCTGGAGCACTCTAAACTTTTGTGAATACCGGGTACTACTCATTTTCATGATTTTGCCTTAAATTTTAAAACTAAACTATTCAATGATTAGTAAGCTGCTGTTTGTAGATTTATTGTATGTTAGTGACTTCCACAAACTAGGGATGTTCTTTGATACATGTGCCACACTGTTGTCTTGTAAAACACACACGTTTTGTTATTATTGCTAGCAGTAAAGATAATATTGGTTTTAAATCTTTTTCTTATTTCATAATCTAACATTTTTATCACTTTGGTTGAATTTGTTTACCAACAAAAGACTGATGTTGTTTGGAACGTTTTACTATATAGTTGGTAATTTCTGTTTTACATTTACATACCATCCTGTTGATGATAGTGGCACTGTAACAGTGATATTTGAGAAAGTGAAAATAAAATTGAAATGAAAACAAAAACAAAATACCCCAATTACGTATACTTAAAGCTTCATATTGCATTTCTTTACATTTCTTCATATTCAGCTGATTGGTACATTGAGTTTGTCAATTTCTGATACAAATTGGGCAAAAAAAAAAATCTTGTGTATTGAACAGGTAGGATTAACCTTTGACCTGTTGTGTTGACCTCTCTTCAACACACCTAAGAATTATATTTGATTTGTTGTTTTTCAGAAGAGACAGATAAACCAGATAGGATTCCTAGTAGCCACTCAAGTACCCAGTAGTAGGAGGGACAACAAAGACGAGGACAGACTCGATGGCTCCATGCTCGTTCTCACCAGAGACTTGTACGTTTTCAAACATACTTTTATTAATCTTTCATTGCATGCACTAGAGAGAAACCTCCAAAATTTACTACTTCATCAATAAATGTCATTTCCAAAATCTGGTAGTTTATTACTTCCTGTCAACATATACGCCAATTCATTTTAATAGTACCTTGAAGTTTGAATAGGAAAGTATATAGGAAATTGATGGTTTCTGTCTGCTTGTCTTGTGAGCATTACATAAATGTCAGCTAAATCATATATATGCCTGTACAATGCAGTCACTTCCAGTTTGATGTAAAAGTAACAAACGTGTCGGAAGGTCCCTGATTGCTTCTTGGGGATGTAGAAATAGATGTTACAGCTGACAGTGTTTGGCTGTGTCAAAACGTAGGGCATATAATATAACATTGGATATGTCAAAACGTAGGGCATATAATATAACATTGGATATGTCAAAACGTAGGGCATATAATATAACATTGGATATGTCAAAATGTAGGCCATATAATATAACATTGGATATGTCAAAACGTACGGCATATAATATAACATTGGATATGTCAAAACGTAGGGCATATAATATAACATTGGATATGTCAAAACGTAGGGCAGATTGGATAATATAACATTGGATATGTCGAAACGTAGGGCAAATAGGATAACATAACATTGGATATGTCAAAACGTAGGGCATATAATATATCATTGGCTATGTCAAAACGTAGGGCATATAGGATAATATAACATTGGATCTGTCAAAACGTAGGGCATAGAGGATAATATAACATTGGATATGACGAAACGTAGGGCAAATAGGATAATATAACATTGGATCTGTCAAAACGTAGGGCATATAGGATAATATAACATTGGATATGTCAAAACGTAGGGCATATAATATAACATTGGATATGTTGAAACGTAGGGCAAATAGGATAACATAACATTGGATATGTCAAAGCGTAGAGCAAATAGGATAGTATAACATTGGCTCTACGCTTTGACATATCCAATGTTATATTATATGACCTACGTTTTGACATATCCAATGTGATATTATATGCCCTACGTTTTGACATAGCCAATGTTATACTATCCTATTTGCTCTACGCTATGACATATCCAATGTTATATTATATGACCTACGTTTTGACATATCCAATGTTATATTATCCCAATATAACATTGGATATGTCAAAACGTAGGGCATATAGGATAATATAACATTGGATATGTCGAAACGTAGGGCATATTGGGATAATATAACATTGGATATGTCAAAGCGTAGAGCAAATAGGATAGTATAACATTGGCTATGTCAAAACGTAGGGCATATAGGATAATATAACATTGGATATGTCGAAACGTAGGGCAGATAAAATAATATTACACTGGATATGTCAAAACGTAGGGCATATAGGATAATCAGAATTTTAAAAAGATTTGACTTGCATTACAACAGCGCAACAAGCTAACAAACATTCTGACAAAAATAGCAGCCCCCATGCTAAAAGCCTTTCACTTCAAGTCTTCACTATATTCATGCTAATTACAGCAAGATGCATGCACACTTCGTGATTCTCATGAATTATTATATACATAATATATATTATTTTTGCTTTTGTATAATTAATTTTTCAAAGCAGTGTAACATATTATCACTTCCTAAGAAGACCACTTTTGTGTCATATGAGTGATGCTCACCAAACACACATTCACACATCAATACAACCTTCCTTCACTAATTTCTGCCATTGCATTAAATACTGATAACGTCACGCTACCACAATTGGTACAATTTTGACAGTTTTTTTAGNCAGCATGAACAATAATAAATGCAGTGATATGCTTCCACACTCTGAGCTGTATGACAGTGATATGTCGGCGTCCTCTCACCATCTATTGACATACAGGCTATATAGTGAGGTTATTTGGCCTCCTTAGGACAAATCTATTTTTCTTTTGGTTTATTTTCATATATTGTTACTCATTCACCCCTGAAATTTCATAATTAACTATTCCAACCTTTGAATTGATAGGGGTTCAAATGTGTCTTCAGGGGTCAATGAGTTAATGAACATTCAGTACAAGGTCGTCTGTTGATATGGAGGCTATACCCCGTACTGTTAACTCTCCAAAAGACATTTCTATTTTTGTTTTGATTATATCAAAAATTGTTCCTTTTAATGACCGTTCATTACAAGGTATCGTTGCTCTGCTTTCAGAAACCACAAGGTTTTGTTTTCTATGAATGTGATGAACAGACATGAAAGGACGATGGCGTACCACGCCGAGCTGGACTGGGTGTTTAATCAGTTACAGGAGGAGATCAAGAGAACAGGAGTCACTAAAGTCACAGTGAGTATTTCATGTTCTACCTACCTTTCTTGTAATATTTCACCCATGCTTTACCAACCAATGGCCTAGTACCATACTACATCAGATACTTTTTCAAATACCTTATTAGGGCCCCGTATCGGAGATACGGGTGCCCTATAGTAATCCCTCTGTCTGTCTGTCTGTCTGTCTGTCTGTCTGTCCATCCACAAATTTTGTTCCTGGCTGATATTTTGGTATTTATTGACCGATGTACATGAAACTTGGTCAAGATGTTCAGTTCACAAAAATACACATTGAGGTAAAAAGTTAAGGTCAAAGGTTAAGGTCATTAGATTCAAAGGTCAAGGTAAAATTTTGCATATTTTCACTGATGAACATTTTGTTATGACATGATTTATGAACAAAAGACACAAGCAAGGAATGTGAGATTAAATACTTGAATTCATTACACAAATATACATTTGGGCTAAGGGGCTATAACAGCTGTGGTGTTTGGTACTACCTTCAGTTTGATAGGCTATCTGATAAGGAAATATATGTTAATAATCCGTTGATGCTAGCCGAGCCAAGTAACTTGAAGGGAACAATATTGATGAACTGAATGTAAATTAATAATTTCTGGGGGACTTACGAATTACATAATGATGTAAAATGCCCAGTTTTAATGAAGCAAATTTGGTCAGAATTAAACAAGGAGTCAATTGACCAAAGGTCAAGGTCACTGGGTCAAAGGTCACGGTCAAATTTTGTATCTTTTCCCTGATGAACATTTTGTTATGTCTTCATGAAGCAAAGTTGGTCAGAATTTAACAAAGAGTCAACTGACTTAAGGTCAAGGTCACTTGGTCAAAGGTCAAGGTAAAGTTTAGTATTTTTTTGCTGGTGAACATTTCATTATGACACTTTGGAGCAATGTTTGTGGGAATTAAACAAAAAGTCATTTGACCAAAGGTCAAGGTCACTGGGTCAAAAGTCAAGGTCAAATTTTGTATATTTTCACTGATGAACATTTTGTTATGACATTATGAAGCAAAGTTGGTCCGAATTTAAAAAGGAGTCAACTGACTTAAGGTCAAGGTCACATGGTCAATGTCAAGGTCAATTATTGTACCTTTTTACTTTTTTTTATGTTATTATGTTGCAAACTTGTTCATAACTTATCACAGAGTCTACTGACCCTAGGTCCAGGTTACGGGCTCCAGAGGGTCAAGGTCAAGTTTTGTATTTTTCACTGATGAACATTTTGTTATGATATTATGAAGCAAAGTTGGTCGGAATTAAAGAATAAGTCAACTGACCAAAGATCAGGGTCACTGGGTTAATGGTCAATGTCATTTGGGTACAGAGGTCAAAGACAAAGTGGATCTCTGACTTTGACCCTGGCTCTTGATGGAGGAGGTATATAAGGTGAAATAAAACAAATCAAAGCTAACAAATGAGTATTGCACCGGTATTTACATTTCTGTTAGCCCAGCAAATATGGAGGTGGAAGGAAACAAGACTCGCATCATAGTACATGTTAAAATATACATTTTGCTTCCTTGCGATTCTTTTTGAAGTCCAAATGTCAAGCTCAGCTATATGGGCAGATTGCTTCTTGATAATTATGGGGATATATTGCCACAAGACGGGGCCCTTACTGACCTGCCAGTGTTCTAGTTTCCACTTTATTTGGGGGATGAATAAAGTATAACACATACAATGCTGCCTTTTGATCACATATGAAAAGATAACCCACACGTAAATGATAGCAAATATGCAAAATATCAAAAAGGGGGGAAAAAATGAATTAATTTGCAAAATTAGCCTCATGCATTAATACCTTAGTTTACAGTATTGATATTCCAGTGATGCTGTTCCAAGACTTTACTGTAGTAATTCGTCAAATGTAAATTACTGCAGTTAGTATTTCACTACTCTGAATTTACGACTTTTGCTTGAAAATAAATAAATGAATTTACACAGGTAAATGTTTTTGTTAAGTAGACATTATAATACTTATTGAGGATGTTGTCTTTGATGTCAACTTTTAAATAGATATCCCAATGTTCAGCAAAAATAAAAGGGCCTTGTATTGGTATTTTTTCTCTGACACAACATGCACAATACAAAGATGGACGAATAACTGACACTTACATAACTTTAAAAAAATGTGATGACAAACGATAAATGGTATGGAACTGTTTACCATATATATATATATATTTATCCATTTATATATGACGTATATTCACCTGTGAATGAATTAACATGTATTTGTATCATAAATTTCAAACAGTCACACTTGCCCCTTATTGGATGGTTGAGCAAGTATTCATGCTTATAACAATACTGGTATTGTGGGCTACATTCACATTAATATTGCCATTAATATTTACCTGTGTTATATTATTATATGGATCATGTGTAAGATCCTTGTTACTGTAAAGATCGTTTTTATTCCTACACTGGTACTACCGGAGGGGACTAAGCTTGCATCCTGTCTGTCAGTCTGCCAGTGTGTCACTGTGTCTGGGGAATATCTCATGTACTCTTCACCTACAATTGCCAAATTTTGTATGGGTCTCAGGTCTAATTATATACAGAGTTATGGCACTTTGTTCACTGCATGTAACTTTGTCTGGACCATATCTCATAAAAAGAGGCACCTAGAATTTAGAAATTTTGTATGCAGGTACCTCTTTGGACGGCAGAGTGTTGTGTACTGAAATCAAGTAGCGTGGCCTACTGAATATTCATTGTTTTGCCCATAGATCATTTCTGATTTGGAACTTTGTCAGGAAATGGGGGACTATGGATTTGCCATTAGTATTATTAAAGTACCTGTCAACCTGACTCCAAAGCAGGAAATACAAAATTTGAGGTAGTTATTAGTCCCCATTGATCGGTTCTTTGGAGAGGGAAGGGGAGGTGAGGAACTATATGTTTGCAATCCGTCCTTCCCTACCTCAGAATTCTGTCCATCCAAAGAGGTTGTAGGAGGCATATCTTCTGTACTATTTCACCTGTAGTAACCAGATTTAGTATGCAAGCACATCTTACCTGGAGTTACCAGGTTTTGTACGCAATGACATCATGGGATGGAAGAGTGTCAGGAACAATGCTATGACATTTGACCTTATCCTTCGAAAAAGGTTTGTCCTTGGCATATATATCTTCTGTACTATTTTCACCTGGATTAACCAGACTTGGTATGCATTTATGTCTTGGCTGATGGAGTGCAGAGTACATCACTGTTACCTATATCCTTAGGTAGACGTGCAGCTCCATAAATAAAGAAATCATTACCGGTGGGGGACTATGGATTGCCTTTCAATACTTTGCCATGTTGTTAAATACTGATAAAGTAACAGGACACCTAACGTTAGTGCAGGCAAATACGTCACATTAGTAAGGGTTTCAGTTAATAATTCGTCACATTAGTAAGGGTTTCGGTTAATAATTTGTCCAAATACACATGTATCAAAATGCTGACGACGAGCACCAGTACAGAAGATTTGACTGAAATGCCTATAAATAAACATTGTTGTAAAACGCCTGAATAATGTCATGCAGCAATATTTGTGACGTCATCAGGCCTTCCGTGGTTTTACTCAAAGATGCAGGCAGTTTCGCCACATTCAAACATTTCACTTATTTGCAAGTAATGTAAGTGTTTAATTGTACCACTTTGTATGTTTATGTTACACAAGTCGTACTGATACGAACATGCAGCTCCGAATGTGTGTGTGTTACAATGTTTAACATTGAAATAAATGGCTTTTCTTAGTTGTGATAGTAATTTTTTGGTAACATCACATCTCCAGTACACACGCAGGCATACACACATAGGGCGATATTAGCCAGGTGGCATAGGACTAGTAGTTAGCGCCTGATAAGGCAGCTCCTACGAATTCCTCAAAATTAAATTGATTAATGTAAATGCTAATTAAATGTTAATAAGAAACTGATTAATGCTGTTTGAGTAAGATGGCTGGGACCATCTGAGATGAGGTCAATTTACATGCATCACAATAAAGGCTCAGTCCTGAACAAATTAAAACTTCCAAATCGGTGCCCAAAATTACATTTTTTATTTGGAGGCGGATGACAGGGTTCGGCTAGGGCTTTCAACATTCGTCTTAAGCTTCCCCCCCCCGACTTTTGGATAATTTGTCACATACATGTAGCATCTCCAGTCGTCTTACACAGCAACGGGAAAAACAATTTGTATGTAATGCATTTACACTAAATCACAACCAACACGCCTCAGATTAATGAGTTTAATGATTTTGCCTGCACTAATGATTGTTAACTACATGTGCCAAAGACTGCTGCTGAAATAGCCCTGGTCATCTATTTCATTCTAGCTTGGTGTCCTCCAGTAGATTTTAGACAACCTATATCGATTGAAATTTTCCTCAGCTATGTTGATGCAGTCATTGATGATTAGATAATAAAATATGTTTTGCGTAGTACTTTGTGCTGTTGATCATACTTACAAACATATTGGCGATAACCTTGCAGTATTCAGTTTTACCATTGCCAGCCTTGGAGCTGAGATCATCATAATATCAACCAGCTGCAGTGGAATTGCAACTCCACAAACCGTGATAATAATTTAAGGACCTTACATACTGCCGATGACATAATCCATTTCCTTTAAGACTTGACTCATGTGCCATCTCCCTCCTTCTGCAGGATCAGTGGTATTTTTTTTGTGACCTCCATCTGTAGGATCAGTGGTATTTTTTCTGTGTCCTCCATCTGTAGGATCAGTGGTATTTTTTCTGTGTGCTCCATCTGTAGGATCAGTGGTATATTTTCTGTGTCCTCCATCTGTAGGATCAGTGGTATATTTTCTGTGTCCTCCATCTGCAGGATCAGTGGTATATTATCTGTGTCCTCCATCTGTAGGATCAGTGGTATATTTTTTGTGTCCTCGATATGTAGGATCAGTAGTATTGTTTTCTGTGTCCTCCTTCTGTAGGATCAGTGGTATATTTTCGGTGTCCTCCATATGTAGGATCAGTGGTATTGTTTTCTGTGTCCTCCAACTGTAGGATCAGTGGTATATTATCTGTGTCCTCCATCTGTAGGATGAGTGGTATATTTTCTGTGTCCTCAATCTGTAGGATCAGTGGTATTGTTTTCTGTGTCCTCCATCTGTAGGATCAGTGGTATATTTTCTGTGTCCTCAATCTGCAGGATTAGTGGTATATTTTCTGTGTCCTCCATCTGTAGGATCAGTGGTATATTTTCTGTGTCCTCCATCTGTAGGATCAGTGGTATATTTTCTGTGTCCTCCATCTGCAGGATTAGTGGTATTTTTTCTGTGTCCTCCATCTGTACGATCAGTGGTATTTTCTTTGTGTCCTCCATCTGTAGGTTAAGTGGTATATTTTTTGTGTCCTCCATCTGTAGGATCAGTGGTATTTTTCTGTGTCCTCCATCTGTAGGATCAGTGGTATTTTTTTCTGTGTCCTCCATCTGTAGCATCAGTGGTATTTTTTTTCTGTGTCCTCCATCTGTAGGATCAGTGGTATTTTCTCTGTGTCCTCCATCTGTAGGATCAGTGGCATTTTTTCTGTGTCCTCCATCTGTAGGATCAGTGGTATTATTCTGTGTCCTCCATCTGTAGGATCAGTGGTATATTTTCTGTGTCCTACATCTGTAGGATCAGTGGTATATTTTCTGTGTCCTCCATCTGTAGGATCAGTGGTATTTTTCTGTGTCCTCCATCTGTGGGATCAGTGGTTTATTTTCTGTGTCTTCCATCTGTAGGATCAGTGGTATATTTTGTGTGTCCTCCATCTGTAGGACGAGTGGTATATTTTCTGTGTCCTCCATCTGCAGGATCAGTGGTATATTATCTGTGTCCTCCATCTGTAGGATCAGTGGTATTTTTTCTGTGTCCTCCATCTGTAGGATCAGTGGTACTTTTCTGTGTCCTCCATCTGTAGGATCAGTGGTATATTTTGTGTGTCCTCCATCTGTAGGATGAGTGGTATATTTTCTGTGTCCTCCATCTGCAGGATCAGTGGTATATTATCTGTGTCCTCCATCTGTAGGATCAGTGGTATATTTTTTGTGTCCTCCATATGTAGGATCAGTAGTATTGTTTTCTGTGTCCTCCTTCTGTAGTATCAGTGGTATATTTTCGGTGTCCTCCATATGTAGGATCAGTGGTATTGTTTTCTGTGTCCTCCATCTGTAGGATCAGTGGTACTTTTCTGTGTCCTCCATCTGTAGGATCAGTGGTATATTTTCTGTGTCCTCCATCTGTAGGATCAGTGGTACTTTTCTGTGTCCTCCATCTGTAGGATCAGTGGTATTTTTTGTGTGTCCTCCATCTGTAGGATCAGTGGTATATTTTCTGTGTCCTCCATCTGTAGGATCAGTGGTATTTTCTCTGTGTCCTCCATCTGTAGGCTCAGTGGTGTTTTCTCTGTGTCCTCCATCTGTAGGTACAGTGGTATTTTTTCTGTTTCCTCCATCTGTAGGTTCAGTGGTATTTTCTCTGTGTCCTCTATCTGTTGGTTCAGTGGTATTTTCTCTGTGTCCTCCATCTGTAGGTTCAGTGGAGTTTTCTCTGTGTCCTCCATCTGTAGGTTCAGTGGAGTTTTCTCTGTGTCCTCCATCTGTAGGTTCAGTGGAGTTTTCTCTGTGTCCTCCATCTGTAGGTTCAGTGCTGTTTTCTCTGTGTCCTCCATCTGTAGGTACAGTGGTATTTTCTCTGTGTCCTCCATCTGTAGGCTCAGTGGTGTTTTCTCTGTGTCCTCCATCTGTAGGATCAGTGGTATTTTCTCTGTGTCTTCCATCTGTAGGTTCAGTGGTATTTTCTCTGTGTCCTCCATTTGTAGGTTCAGTGGAGTTTTCTCTGTGTCCTCCATCTGTAGGTTCAGTGCTGTTTTCTCTGTGTCCTCCATCTGTAGGTACAGTGGTATTTTTTCTGTTTCCTCCATCTGTAGGTTCAGTGGTGTTTTCTCTGTGTCCTCCATTTGTAGGTTCAGTGGTGTTTTCTCTGTGTCCTCCAGCTGTAGGTTCAGTGGTGTTTTCTCTGTGTCCTCCAGCTGTAGGTTCAGTGGTGTTTTCTCTGTGTCCTCCAGCTGTAGGTTCAGTGGTGTTTTCTCTGTGTCCTCCGTATTGTTTTCTGTGTCCTCCATCTGTAGGATCAGTGGTACTTTTCTGTGTCCTCCATCTGTAGGATCAGTGGTATTTTCTCTGTGTCCTCCATCTGTAGGATCAGTGGTGTTTTCTCTGTGTGTTCCTTCTGTAGGTTCAATGGTATTTTCTCTGTGTCCTCCATCTGTATGTACAGTGGTATTTTTTCTGTTTCCTCCATCTTTCACTGACTAAGACGTAGTCACCCTAATCTGAAGTTATGCACCTGTGCTTACCTTTTGTCCACCTTGAAGAGAAATACAGTTGGTGCAATGAGAACATTAATTTAAGCTTGCCTATGTACTGTAACCATTTACTGGAACTAATTTATTCCTGACAGTGTGGACAGTTTCAGGGTCATTTGTGTATAAAGCTTCACTAGGTAAATCAAGGGCAGATCTAGGCCTATGCTCTGTGCCCACTTTTGCCTCTAAAACATTTCACCTGGCTCCTCTGGTAAAAAGAAGGATGAATAAGAGTGCTTACAGAAACTCTTGATCTCTGCACTGCACTCCAACACCCACTATCTATATAGGCAAATACTGTATCCACCACTTCAATTTCTTATTAGGAGAAAAAAAATCATTACAAGTGATGTTGTTTTCATTATTATTAACTTTTAAATCAAACCTGGTCTAGGATATCAAAGATCACTGTCTGATGATAAACATTTAATTACCTTGTTAAAAAAGGGTTAGAAAAATTCTATTTTAAAATTTTACTTTCAATATTTGATGACACAAATGTATATAAATCAACTCAGAAGCTTGATACAGCTAGGACCAGGTCAATAGTAACATCTTTCAAGTATTTAAAGTGACGGCTTGTCTGTGATTTTATCCCTCCTGACGTGATGGTACCATTGATCACTAGATCAAATCAGTTGAAATCTGTGGGAATACAGTTATGGTGCGCCGTCTTTGTGTTAGGTAACATCATCAGCTTAGAGAAATCACCCCTAGACTGCAGCCAACCTTTCTGAATAATTCTGTTAATGACATAAGGGTAATGGTTGACGTCTTGTTGGCATATTGATTTTTCAGCACTCTATCACGAATGACACGAAAGAAAATCTCTACTTGAGTGGCAAGCTTAAGTTATCTGAACTCAACTTTTGTATTGAGAGTTTGCTGTTTTGAACCCTAATGTATAAGTACTTTTGACCTTTTGTCTATATTAACCATGAGTTGTAGTTGTAAATCCTCCTACACTATATTGGTAATTGACACAATCAGGAAGCATGTAAGTTCTATTGGGATTCACTCAGAAAATTGGCAAGGCAATTTAGAGAATATGTTTTTATCTGGCTTCATTAATTTCCTCTATTGGTGACACTCAGGGTTTATATTGCTTCAGAACTCCAGAAACTATATCTGCTGCTCTGATTGATGAGAAAGTCTTTCTACTGAAGAAACATTACAAATATCATGCCCCGACAGTATCTCGAAGATTGTGTGACAATTTTCATGTCCCAAATATCATGTCTTGATAGCAAAACAAATATCGTCTTATGATAGCATTGTATACAATGTATATAATGTGCTAACTGTACTACAATTGTTATGCCTGACAGCATATCAGAACTATTATGTTCTGACAGTGTCACAATTATCATGTTCTGACTGTGTCACAAATATCATGTTCTGACAGTGTCACAAATATCATGTTCTGACAGTGTCACAATTATCATGTTCTGACAGTGTCATAATTATCACAATTATCATGTTCTAACAGTGGCACACATATCCTGTTCTGACAGTGTCACAAGTATCATGTTCTGACAGTGTCACAAATATCATGTTCTGACAGTGGCACAAATATCATGTTCTGACAGTGTCACAAGTGTCATGTTCTGACAGTGTCACAAGTATCATGTTCTGACAGTGTCACAAATATCATGTTCTGACAGTGTCACAAATATCATGTTCTGACAGTGTCACAAGTGTCATGTTCTGACAGTGTCACAAATATGTTCTGACAGTGTCACAAATATCATGTTCTGACAGTGTCACAAATGAAAAATTCACAAATATCATCTTCTTACAGTGGTATATACAATGTAAATCATTTCTGTCTGTACCTCAATGTACATCACATATATCACGCTCCCAAAGTATCACCATTATAATGCCTCGCAATGTCTTTGTCCTGTGTTTTGTAGGATGTTGATTCAGTGCTGAATATTATCCTAACATTGGCGTACTATTTCTACAATATGATGCCACTGTCACGGGGATCAAGGTAAGTACAACCAGGGGACAGTCAAGGTAACATAGGGTAATAAGAAAAGAGAGAAACAAGATGTTTAAAGATCTTCAATTGAAATATTTGGAAAAACTGTCTACATGTTTGTTAGTCAAGTTTCACAGATGGCTTAAATTTGAAGTACAATCCAACTTCAGACATTTGGTAAAATTTAAACCCAGGTTAAGTTATTTCTCAGTTCCGTTTTTTTCTTACTTTATATTAATTAACGTAACTTGGTTAAATATATTTATAAAAACTCAAACACTTAACTATGTGAGACAATTGCAGTTTTTAAAGTGTACTGTGTTCATAATTTATTGTATGAAGTTATGGAGATATCTTAAAGCTTAAGAATTTGGAACAGTTAGTCATTGTTTTATACCAACGGGTAGATTTAAATGATATTATTGCAACACACTGGATGCTAACAGTTTTTTGTATGATCCCTTTGGCTTTGAAATAACAAAGTTTTAATGACTTATAAGTATAAAAGTTAGAAAAAAATTCAGACGATCACTGTGGAACTTTTTCATATTGAGAGTATGTAGCAGGCACATTTTGAAAATGTCTATTGTTCGACCTATATTTTCAAAGTAAATATATGTAAAAAATCAACAGTACCTACATAAAATTTACTAGCATTGTCTTTTGGAACTGTACATAACTAACCAATAATCCGTTTCTAAAATTATTTGGGTTCAAGAATCAAAACCTTTTATATTTTTGTACCAGATAATTAGATGACATGCCTAAGGTCGTTATTTAATTAAAGATTTGATTTTCACCAGATGTTTGTTGTTAAAAACGATTGTGAGGTACAAGGGCTTTTGTAATTTTGTGACCTGGATTTTTCATTTTACTCTAATATTTGGTCATGAATTTCTTATATGATTTTTAGGGTTAATTTTGTCAGCTGTAAGTAGGAGACTGCATAAAGCACTTTAATTAATTATAATTTTTGTTACAAAAGTGGTTTTAAAATTGTAGTAGGAATATATTAGAAAAATTAAATGCTAAATACAGCCTAAGCTTTTAATTGCAGACCCAAATCTTTCTGGCATCGTTGATTGTCAGTTGGAGTGATACAAATGCCAATGCACTGTGGGGTTTGTTAACCATCACAATACTCTTAACGATAATGTGATTGCTGAATAAAGCCTGAAATTTGATTGTCACGTCCCTGTTGTCTGTCTCATTGTACCAGTAAGGGAGTGACCCTCGGTGCAGCTGTCCTATGTTCTATCTTTACAGTGCGGTAGCCTACTCTGTGGCTCTAGGAGTCATCATGTCTATAGGACGGCAAGTCACAGGAAAAATGCCTAATGGCAAGGTCAGTGCAAAGTTGGGTCGGTGTTGTAAAATGTTATTGCTAGCCTATAAAAGTAAAAAGATTGGATAGATTATTTATTTTGAAAGCAAATTCCCACAAGCATACTTATTGCAAATCCATGAGTATAATGAAGTTATATCATGGCCAGAAATACCGGAAATTGTCTCCTGATAATCCAGCTCTGTCATGAATTCTGTCTAAAGTGAACTTAATTTCTAGGTCCTCAAGCCAAGTCACAGTGCAAGGTTCCCTATATGAATTTGCTGTTGGTAACACTGTAAGAATGATGTTTGTAGCATATTGTTTGTAAAACATTTTACCTGTTTTAATACACCATACATAAACCAACAATAATGTGTACAGTACCCTTATCTGAGATGCTGTTTAATCACAGTTACTGGAGATGGAAGCCATGCTGTCTGGGGCACCAGATGTTTTTATACTCATGTCCAAACAATGGATGAATATCAAAAGGTAAGACAGTTAATACAGAGTAGGAACATTTTTATCATTGTCATTGTACTAAAGATATGCCTCAGATAATCATTTCTTTCTGATGACCTTTTTCGATAAAGATTTAAGATCTTTGATGAAAGGTGTATGACCTTTTGATGATTTGTTTATGACCTTTGATGATAGGGTTATGACCTTTTGATGATAGGTGTATGGCCTTTGATGATAGGTGTATGGCCTTTGATGATAGGGTTATGACCCTTTGATGATAGGGTTATGACCTTTTGATGATAGGGCTATGACCTTTGATGATAGGGCTATGACCTTTGATGATAGGGTTATGACCTTTTGATGATAGGGCTATGACCTTTGATGATAGGGTTATGACCTTTTAATGATAGGTGTATGGCCTTTGATGATAGGGTTATAACCTTTGATGATAGGTGTATGCCCTTTTGATGATAGGTGTATGATCTTTTGATGTCATAGGGTTATCACCTTTTGATGATAGGGCTATGGCCTTTGATGATAGGGTTATGACCTTTGATGATAGGGGTATGGCCTTTTGATGATAGGGTTATGACCTTTGATGCTAGGTGTATGGCCTTTTGATGATAGGGTTATGACCTTTTATGATAGGTTTATGCCTTTTTGATGATAGGGCTATGACCTTTGATGATAGGTTTATGCCCTTTTGATGATAGGGTTATGACCTTTGATGATAGGGGTATGGCCTTTGATGATAGGTTTATGACCATTGATGATAGGTTTATGACCTTTGATGATAGGTTTATGATCTTTTGATGTCATAGGTTTATCACCTTGTGATGATAGGAATATGACCTTTGATGATAGGTGTATGGCCTTTTGATGATAGGGTTATGACCTTTGATGCTAGGTGTATGGCCTTTTGATGATAGGGTTATGACCTTTTATGATAGGTTATGCCCTTTTGATGATAGGTGTATGACCTTTTGATGATAGGTTTATGACCTTGTGATGATAGTTGTATGATCTTTGATGATAGGTGTTTGATCTTTTGATGATAGGTGTATGATCTTTTGATGTCATAGGTTTATCACCTTGTGATGATAGGAATATGACCTTTGATGATAGGTGTATGGCCTTTTGATGATAGGGGTATGACCTTTTATGATAGGTTTATGCCTTTTTGATGATAGGGCTATGACCTTTGATGATAGGTTTATGACCTTTTGATGATAGGGTTATGACCTTTTATGATAGGTTATGCCCTTTTGATGATAGGGTTATGACCTTTGATGATAGGGTTATGACCTTTTAATGATGGGTGTATGGCCTTTGATGATAGGGTTATAACCTTTGATGATAGGGGTATGCCCTTTTGATGATAGGTGTATGATCTTTTGATGTCATAGGGTTATCACCTTTTGATGATAGGGCTATGGCCTTTGATGATAGGGTTATGACCTTTGATGATAGGTGTATGGCCTTTTGATGATAGGGGTATGACCTTTTATGATAGGTTTATGCCTTTTTGATGATAGGGCTATGACCTTTGATGATAGGTTTATGCCCTTTTGATGATAGGGTTATGACCGTTGATGATAGGGGTATGACCTTTTGATGATAGGTTTATGACCTTGTGATGATAGTTGTATGACCTTTGATGATAGGTGTTTGATCTTTTGATGATAGGTGTATGATCTTTTGATGTCATAGGGTTATCACCTTTTGATGATAGGGCTATGACCTTTGATGATAGGTTTATGACCTTTTGATGATAGGGTTATGACCTTTGATGATAGGTGTATGGCCTTTGATGATAGGTGTATGGCCTTTGATGATAGGTGTATGGCCTTTGATGATAGGTTTATGACCATTGATGATAGGTTTATGACCATTGATGATAGGTTTATGACCTTTGATGATAGGTTTATGCCCTTTTGATGATAGGGTTATGACCGTTGATGATAGGTGTATGACCTTTTGATGATAGGTTTATGACCTTGTGATGATAGTTGTATGACCTTTGATGATAGGTGTTTGATCTTTTGATGATAGGTGTTTGATCTTTTGATGATAGGTGTATGATCTTTTGATGTCATAGGTTTATCACCTTGTGATGATAGGAATATGACTTTTGATGATAGGTGTATGATCTTTTGATGTCATAGGTTTATCACCTTTTGATGATAGGGCTATGACCTTTGATGATAGGGTTATGACCTTTGATGATAGGTTTATGGCCTTTGATGATAGGGTTATGACCCTTTGATGATAGGTTTATGGCCTTTTGATGATAGGGTTATGACCTTTGATGATAGGTTGATGCCCTTTTGATGATAGGTGTATGATCTTTTGATGTCATAGGTTTATCACCTTTTGATGATAGGGCTATGACCTTTGATGATAGGTTTATGCCCTTTTGATGATAGGGCTATGACCTTTGATGATAGGTTTATGACCTTTTGATGATAGGGTTATGACCTTTTATGATAGGTTATGCCCTTTTGATGATAGGGCTATGACCTTGTGATGATAGGGTTATGAACTTTGATGATAGGGTTATGACCTTCTGATGATAGGGTTATGACCTTGTGCTGATAGGGTTATGACCTTTGATGATAGGTGTATGGCCTTTGATGATAGTGTTATGACCTTTGATGATAGGTGTATGGCCTTTTGATGATAGGGTTATGACCCTTTGATGATAGGTTTATGGCCTTTTGATGATAGGGTTATGACCTTCTGATGATAGGGTTATGACCTTGTGATGATAGGGTTATGACCTTTGATGATAGGGTTATGACCTTTTGATGATAGGGTTATGACCTTGTGATGATAGGGTTATGACCTTTGATGATAGGGTTATGACCTTTGATGATAGGTTTATGACCTTTGATGATAGGTGTATGGCCATGGGATGTTTCATGAATTCAGTCAATCAGTACACTGTGCAGTTAGTATATTGTGTTTGAGTAGAAAGTCAGGATAGTTGCATATGGTTTGATGACACTACAACAGTTAAATTATAACAATACATCTGATATAAAGATAGAAGAATTCTAGAATTTTTTACAATCTGATTCCTTTGTCAAGTAACCTATATTTGAAGAGGCATGCTTGAACATGTCACCAAATTTATATATTGAAATCTTTATCTCTTTTGCAGGTTAAATATTCCAACCTCTTTGTTGCCAAAGGTATACGAAGCCTTCCCCACCACGAGGAGTCTGATTGAAGTTTTAAATGTTAACACCGACTCCTGCCAGTAGTCCAATACACTAACCTCAGTAATGCAATCATTCCTCAACTAAATTGCAGCACCTTTTGTTAAAGATTAAATAATGTTATTTGTGGATTTTTGCAGTGAATGATTACTTTGTTGATGTGCTTTAACTTTTTTTGGTTACTGTAAACGTATATATTTTAGTGGTAGTCTTGATTTAGCACTTTTCACGCCATAATTATCTTACGAAGTTATAAATACACTCTTGTATATGCACAAATTAATCAATTCTTTTAAAATTTGAGAAATGCACTAAAATTGAGTGGGCTAAAATGAATACGTTTACAGTATTGTGTGTTCTTGATTTGTTGTTAGCATGTAAATGTTATTAGTCAATGATATGCAGGTAGCTAATACTGTAGTCAACAGGTTTTGATCTAGGATGTAAGTCTTTTATAAGATTGAAATTGGAAGAAAAATGATGGTAATATTTTCAAACAATTGTTTCGCCAATGTTCCTGTTTGTGATCGTATATCTTGGCACCACTGTAACAGGAAAGGGAAAAGGCAATTGGGCCAGACCCGGGCCCGTAATCAAAAAAACATTCTCATGCTTAAGCATTGATTCTGTGCTCAAGCCAAATGTTTTTCAACCCTCTTAAATTATATGGTACATTAGAAAAGTAAACGTAAAACATTTAAAATCATTGATTTGCAAAATCTTTTGAACTTTTCTGAATTTATTATATGAAACCTTACAATCATTAAAACAGTATTGGTGCAGGTTTTGATTTGATATATCTAAGACAGCGGTTACATTGTACATTTCCTAAGATGTTCTGTCGTCATAAAATTATTGTCACAATGGTAGTCGGAGACTCGGGAATGTAAAATTCAATAAGAATCTTGTAAAGTTACACTAATGCATAAAATATAAACAATTAATGCACCTGTCTGAACCAGGAAGGATGATGTCAGTGCCGAGGGTATGGTAGAATACACTATCTTTTGATCAGCAATTTGAAATTAGCCTAATAATTCATATTTATCACTTTGGTGTTATTTATATTTATCACTTTGTTGATTGAGTTTGGAATCTTTATCTCAATTAATGCTTTTAAGGTCAATTTTTCCGAGCCGGTGTTTTTATTGATTAAAATTGCTTCCCCGAGACATGAATGTGTTAGTTTTATTGGCATTTTAATGAGCCTTTATTTCGGTACTTAAATCTAGTAAATTTGATAATCAATGTTTTCTAGTAACTTTATCCATTATCTGTAAACCTGATGTTATCCAGAAATTGCATGACTTATCCAATTAGTTCTACGTGTGTACAGCCACAAGTATGAGTAATGATTCTTTCGAGAAAAACAGTTTTAATCAAAATAGTTTCTTAATGCATTGCGATGAAAAATGAATCCTTTACTAGTTACGTGGGTTATACAATTCGAATTAAAATGAGTTTTGCAGGATAATAAATTTAAAAAGGCTTACAGATGAACGTGAACCCAAGATATAATGAGACCGCTGACAGTGGTATTACTGTGGGAAGAATTTATGCAAGAACCGCAGACAAATGCAGTGATGGAGCACCTAGGGCATTGAACAGTTTGTTTGTGCCAAGATAGATGTGTCGGGGAGTGTTTGGTGAATCCCCTAGACAGGAAAGCAATGCGCCATATTAATTGCACCGTATGACATTTAACATCCAGCATCTGGTTTTTCTAATTTAAAGGGTAACAGACACATTATCAAGAGCAGAAAGAATTTCATTTTGGAATTCAGTATTTGATTATTTTTTTATTTTAAAAAACAATTTATTTTTTATTTTTTTGTGTGTTATGTTCTTGGTGTATTTTGAATTAATTGCCAATTTTACATCTCGAAATGAGAAATTAAAAGTTCCAATATGAGCTGTATTATACTGTGATTTCTTATATTGTGTGTGAATGAATTATTTTGCTTATGAAAATGTTGACCTCTAGGACTGGAAAATGACCTTGAAGTGCCAATAATTAAGCTATGCACACTTTGGTCTTGTAGTGATAGCAAGACATCTTTTTATACTTTGATACGAATAGTCAAGTCATGATTTCAGTGATTAAAAACTACCTCTGTATAAAGATGACTTTGGTTTTAATTTCATATCTCCATCAGCACTATTAATGAAACAAAGACTTCAACTCCCCCCTTGTAACGCAGTGTATAGTACCAGTCTCAATGTAAAAAAGAAAGATTTTATCAGAACTTTGGATTATTTTGGCTTGTTTCGGGTTTTACATCCTTTACAATAGCTAAGGTCATATACAGACGGTATTCACAGACTACAGGACCACTTTAAAGTACCAGATCACAGAAACGTCACAACATGGACACAATGCAATGGGCCAACCAACACATGGCACCACCTTTTTGAAGCTGAACGCCAAGCTAAGGGCACTTAGTTCCAATTTAACGACTTTTGTTTGTCTCTGGAATTTGTAGGATTGCTCACCAAGCCGGAAGTAAGGTATTGCCAATAAGGCAAAAGGAAATAGACACAGAGAAAGTGCAGCAGATTAATTTTTGTAACCTCCGTGTCCGCTAGCAGGGGCCACAAACAAAATCTGGATGCAATTATGCAGGTTGTTCTCATATTAGTGGCGTCTTACATAATTTGGGTAACAGCTGGTTATTTAAATCCCCGACCTGCAAAGGTGTTTTTACATTAATATGAAAGCAACAAAATTTGCCATAGAAATTTAGGAACCATGTCTTTCATATATATACTCTACTGAATTCAAAGTCAACGGATCTTCTACGTCAGCCACATACCTCTACCTACAGTCACAGCATTACAAACAGACAGCTTACAAGCACTTCTAGGCTGTATGATAACTGTGACGATTTTGATTTCCCAATCGTTAGATTTCCTTTTCTTGATAGTAACATCCCTGCTCACACACCTAAATTGTTAACACGTCAAAGTAATCCGTTATTTACGGGCTTGCTCATATCACGATTTACGTTAAATAAGTTGAATGCTCGCAGACAAACGTACAACATAGGAGTTAAGGTGATGCAGGTTGGTGAACACTAGGGTCACGTTTTATTGCCGCCATCCTGAACTCATTGGAAAACAGCGTAATTCATTTATGCCTTGTAGTATTAATATCTCTATCCAAGTTTAGCTTAACATGACTTTGGACAAGATTTACATGGCGAGTGTCGTCGATGAGGCAGAAGCTAAGCCTTCCAGAACGCCTGGTCTTTTTTTCTCTCATTGTTTCTCTTTACTTTGTTCATGTTTTGTCCTAGTTTCATCGCTGAGCAGTTCGAATTCAGGTATTAACACTTAAGTATACAACTACCGTACCTCTTATTAATAAGGACTCTGATTAAACTTTTTCTATGTAACAAAATCTTTTTTACAAACATATCTGAGTAACACGAAGACGTTTTTATAACTACCTTCGGGTATACAATTCTTTGGCATAAAACATCAATTTTCTTTATGTCTCACGTAGCTTCACCTAAGAATATATGTAACGAACAGGATATATACATTTTTCATTGTCGAGCTTTTAAAAGCAGATGAGCTTGTTTAATATACAAGTTTGTACGATTTACGCACTTCCCACTTTTTCTAGCACTGTCATGATTATTTGATTTAAAATAAACTAGTGCTTCTCTACTGTTTGAAGCTCATACAATCAAGGGATTTTACGCACCTCCCATTCTGTTTCATCGGTAGTTTATAGCAATTCGGATTTTCGACGTTTTGGCCACTTACATCACCGATGAGTTATGGAAGGCTAAAATCTGTAGTTAATATCTAGAAAACTGTACCGATTACCAAGTTTTATAGGTGTAATCACATGTATTTGTCTTGCTTTCATCTTTGCGCAAACACCTATTATTATAAAGACTCGCTTGCCCTTATTTGGCCAGAATTCTATGTGATCATGCTGGTCAAAATTCGCACGAAAACAATTTATATCTCAAAAGGCGACGGCATCGTCAAACATTAAAGACATTATAGGCAATGCAACCACCACATATGGTCCAAAGTTAAGTCACAAGGTGTACATCTCAATTCAGGACAGAAACTGAGCTTGGATAAGCAAATGTCTCGTTGGGGGTAAAACTAATTAGAATTTTGGTAATTTTTCAAAAATTGACATAACCTCTCATCCGAGTCTCAGATTTACTGCAAAATTGAAACAATATTTTTTTCTCCTTTACCCCCTTAACTGCTGTTGACGGCCAAAGCGAGACAGGTGAGACTATAATTCTGTGGAATTCTTGTTAATAACTTAAAGGCATGTTGATAAACACCTTTGCTTTGTTAGTTGGCTTCATCAGAACGATATCGACACATTGTCTTCTCTTTGCCCGTAAGCAGTGTTTCAAAGTTTTATTGATGCTAGTCTGTAAATTACTAAAATAACACATGGTATTCTTTTTCTTTTTCCTTGAAACTAAATTGACATTCTTTCCAAACTTGTTGAGTGAAATGGTTTGCAATTACACATCCTTAAGCCTTTATGAATTTGCACAGAATTGATAATATGTTTGTGAGTACTTGTCAGCTGAAGTGAAAGTCTAATGATTCCTTCTTTCGATCACATTGAAAAGGATTTAATGAAAATTGCTTGCAGGGAAAATCTATAAAATTTTAATATAAACTGAAGCTTTTGCATATCGGCTACGAGTAGGAATGAGTGTATTATTTGCGTTTGAGATCAATTACAGATGCTTTGACGAAGTTTTAAGTTCGTAAGCACAGTCATTATAACGAACGAGAGTCCTTGTCAGAGCAATTCTGCAGTATATTTTTTTAAAGGGATCTAAATTACGTAGAATTCAAAATATAAATCACTTTAATTTGATTTGAAAGAAAAATAAATCTGACAGTACTGATTGATGTCCCAATTGATCGCTTCATTTCGATGTGGTCATATTTGAAAAGCAATAAATTGTTCTGACTGAAAGAAATAGATTGTATGTTATCTTTAACAAGAGATTCGGTAACGTAAGGATAAAACCATAAGAAGCCAGTGGGCGTGAACAATTTACGCATATCCGTAGAAACAATACCAGTAACACATACACGCGAAAGAAAAAGGGAGAAATTACACTACATTGATAATCACAAAGGACAATGTCAGCAAAAAGTACGTTCGAAGGACAGCAACATAAACTCAGGAAACACTAGAACAAAATGAAAGACATGCACCACAAAAAGAGTTGGTGACAAAATCACGTGGTCTTGGTGTGGTAGTTTTCTGCACCCGATGTGGCATGATGTCTCTCTTCAGAAACAGGAAGGCGTCTTCATTACCAATGATTACGGCACATAGAGCATGGTTTAATCATGATAGACACCACATTTTAAAATAGTTTCATAAAAAAGAAATTTATAATCCCATTTTAACATCAACTAAAATGCTTATCAAATTAACATAAATGCTGGTGACCAGGGATTTATCATGTCGACATATCGCCCTTTGTTAACACAATAAGAGAATGGCGTGCTTGTTAAACCGTCATGGTTATACGTTGCATTCGGCAAATGAATGTCAAAAATACTTTAATTTACACGAGAACTTTTATCGGACTAGACTCAAACAACGTTCTCATTTATATTATCGTTTGAGCGTGTTGGTGTGCGGTTTCCAATACTGACAATTACAAAACTCATTACAACCTGGACCCGTATTCATGATATTCATGATATTCTGTATTCTGATCTTATGCTCAAGCATGGATTCTGTGCTCAAACCATTTTTTTTTTTGCAACCCGCTTAGATGATGTCAAACGGTCACAAAGTCAAATGTAAACATTGAAAACAGTATTTGGCTTTACGTTTCTTCAGAATATTTCCAAATCATTGACAAAATAATATTTATTTATTAAGTTATAACAAGAACAAGAAATTAGGCTTGAGCACAAAATCCATACTTGAGCATGAGAATGATTTCACGAATATGGTCCCAGGAAACCTCGGACAGTCCTGCTAAACACAATCACCAACGACAAACTACAACAGAGAACAGCAACGGGACAAATACGAAATGCAATAGAGAAGAGGAAATTGAGCGAAGTAGGCATGTGCGGTAGAGAAAATGATGAAAGCTAGAAAAAAGGAGTAAAATGGGAAAACATCGACAAGAAAAGCAGCATGCCGACAGCAATGTCGCTGTCTAATAGAAGATTTAGATCTTGTGCCTGCGGAGGAACGATTGAGCAGAGTACCACTGCTGATATCGTACAGCACAAGATAGATGTCACTCTACAGGAATCGTTTGCTACACTTTACAGGTGACATGGCCGGGTTATTCCTCGTGTGTTTAAACCATTTACTGTAACTAATTGTGACATACCAGAATCCAATATACTGTACATATGTTTTACTTGAGACTTGAAGTCAGTTAAGCGACTTTACTTTACGTTAGACAAAATGATTCTGCTTTTTCAGCCCCGCATGCTACAGTGCGGTGTGCAGACCGGGAGTCCGTACCAGTAGCATTAGTAAAAGCGTCAATAGTAGTCGAAGACTAATGGTATGACGTCGACAACGGTGAGGTAACGGTGAGTTTTACCATACATAACACAAGTGTAAAATGATGTTGTCTCTTTCGTTTTTTACATCATTCTTATTCAGTAAGTACTGTACCTATAACTTATAGCAATAACACACGACAATTACTTAGCGTGAGCCATACAGCAACTTTATATCTGTTAAATGCTATCTTATGCTCGGCCATACTACTAGAAATGATCTCATCTTATGTATCTTCTCGTTCTGATTGATTGACCTTGGAGCGATCCACGCACGGAGGTTAAATAGAGAATTATTTTTCATCTAGGCGAATTAGAAACCTGGTCAATATCTCCTAACTAACCGTACATGGTATTCTATATCAGTTATCGAGTTGTCGCTGGCAGAATGGCAGGGCGTTTGGCACCGAGTGCGGGGTTAGGGACAGGGGTGCTTCATCTTTGATAGCAAGTTTGGTTGGTGCCCCTCCCCGAGGAGAAAATGTACCACAGTGTATATATATGTCTTAGAATAATAAGAAATAATATTTTTTCTCTAAATGTGAAAAGATTTTTCGGATTTTGTAAATTTACTTGTTTTTTTGCATCACTCCG